TGTACAGTATGTGGAAAATAATGTGTTTTTTGAAGCTTAAACCGCATAAACACATTTCATTACACCAAATATACAAAATAATGTTCTTTTTAGCAACTTCATATGACCCCTTTAACTATACCGGATCTGATTACATATGCAAAACTATATTGTCAAAATCAGCTTCTCAGTGGGTTTTCTGAACTAACTAATTAGGCTGGTTTAAGGTCATGTCCAGCAAACACCAATCACAAAGGTTTCTTTGCAAAAGTTGGAGTCCTATGTATGCCACTAGACCAAGGTGTTGTTGTTTTTTTGTTGAAGTTTTTGAATCCCCAAGCAGAATGATGTGTGGCACACTGTTCCTAAAATATGAAGACATCTATATATCCATAAAGATGATCTATATTACAGTTTAAAAGTTAGGGGTCAATATTTAATTTTATTTTTTGAATATAATAATATGTTTTATTTTTTACAACAACAACAACAATCATCATCATCGTCATCATCATCATCAATAATAATAATAATAATAAAAATGATAATGCTTTTCAAAAAATGCTTTTATTATTACTTTTTTAGGATGCATTAAATAGATACATTTTCTATTTGAAATGCATGCTGGTCTTTTGAACTTTCTATTTATCAAGAAATTCAGAAAAAAAATGTATCTTGACTTCCATAAAAATATTAAGCAGCACAACCGTTTTCAACATTGATAATGATAAGAAATGTGTCTTGAGCATCAAAGCAGCATATTAGAATGATTTCTGAAGGGTCATGTGACACAAGCTGAAAATTCAGCTTTGCCATCACATGTATATTTAAAATATATTAAAATAGAGAACAGTTATTTTAAATTGTAGTTTTTTTTACTGTATTTACCAAATATTGATGTGTTGCTCTATTTTTCATCAAATAAAGCATTAGTGAGCATGTTTCTTGTTTGAAAACTTCTTGCAAAAAAATTTTTTCTTATCGACCCTACTTTTTGAATGGTCGTGTAGTGATGGTTCATTATATTGGTCCATTATACGTCATTATATGTAGATTTGATTTTGATTACGTACTGTTAAAAACTTTTAAAACTTACTGTTTTTCTTTCTTTTAAAAAAATAAATATATAAAAATTGGTAAATGCATCACTCACATCATCATCAATGCAATTGTTATACATTTTAATTGACATCTTAATGTAAACTTAACATCAATTAAAATGTCTAACAATTATGTTCAATGCATTTACCATGTTTTATATATTTAATTATATATTTTATATATATTTTATGTATAAATTATACTATATTTCTTTCTTTCTTTCTTTCCTGTCAGATACAACTGTCTGTTTAGCTCAGATACATGTTATCAGATACAACTATAAATGCATTTAAAATGACATATTCATTGAATAATGAAGTGGGTAGACTAGTGTGTAGACGTTGGATATATGTATTTTTGGCAGATGTATGCTTAAAACAAGGAAAAAGGACTTTAAAAAAAATGATTTTTAGCATAAAAGTATCAAGGTACAGTAGATAATATAGTTTTTTTTCTAAAGAGATACAGTTATGAAGGTGCTGCTACCACAAAACAAGTGTCCATGTTGCAAAGATCAGTGTTTTGATCCCAAAACACCTTCTAATTCTTCTCTCGAAAGAATGTCACTGCATGACACCTTGTTCAGTGCTCCACACCCCGACTGCATCTCTCACCCACACAAGATTTCATAAGCACACATGAGTAATTTCTGGAGGCAGGAAAGAACACGTCTCTCTCTTCTAAGGATTAACTGTATACATATGAAAGGCCAGTTCTAATACCTCTGAATGTTTTGAATACTTAGAGGTGCCAAACTGGAACAAAATCATGCATGAGGTCATAATATGTTCTAACCGTCTGTCTAGTAGACACAAGATTGTCAAAAACAGTTTAACTGGGAAGAACTGTGCACCATCTTGAGTTATTTACCTTTTTGGAGGGAAACAGGTGTTTACAAAACCTTTTGCTGAATGTCTGGCATGAGGATAGGGGAGTGAAACGTCTTGGACTTCATGCGAATTGGAAAACAACTGACTCTCTGTTAAAACTGGATGATAAACTTGTCTATTCAGGGTGAAGTCGTGCACCAACTGTTCCTCCCACATGCAGAGGCAGCGAGAGAGTGTAACATACAGGGAAACAGGAAGCTTCGTTTATATGGTTATAGGATACGGTCTCATGTTTCACACAGCTCTTGTGTTTATGTGTGTGTGTGTGTGTGTCAGGGGGATGGCCAAATCAAGGCAGTTTAGCACTGTCTGATGGGCCATAAATTACATAAATTATTAATTCACAAATATCATGTTTTTGTGGAGTTGCACCACATGATATTTTGCAACGGAACTAACCTGCCTTGTCACTGCGAGGTCAAATTATCTGATATTTGAAGAGACAGATATTATATCAGGACAGTTGTATTACCTGACAGTGTTATTTTAGAATAGGCTACTATTTATGTACTATTATAGTATGTAATTAATATTTTGAATGAGCTTTTATTTTTCAGTTTATTTTTTTTCATTTTAGTTTGAAGGAATAGTTTTAACATTTTAGTTTGAAAATTTACCCTCAGGCCATCCAAGATGTAGATGAGTTTGTTTTTTCATCAGAACAGATTTGGAGAAATGTGGCATTACGTCACTTGCTCACCAATGGATCCTCTGCAGTGAATGGGTGCCGTCAGAATGAAAGTCCAAACAGCTGATAAAAACATCACAATAATCCACAAGTAATCCACACGACTCCAGTCCATCAGTTAACATCTTATGAAGTGAAAAGCTATGTGTTTGTATATGAATCAAATCCATCATAAAGGTGTTTTAACTTTAAACTGTTGGCTTCTGGCCAAAATATGAGTCTATAATCCATAAACGTTTCCTGCAGTGAAAAAGTTAATCTCCTCTCACAACAAATCCACAAACATATTTGTGTAGAACTTCTTTGGAATGTTTTCACTTGTAAACAGTACTTGATCTGTGCATATTTCTCTCCTTATTCAGACAAGGCAACTTTTTCACAGGAGGAAGTGTTATGGATTAGAGACTATTTTAGACGTAAGTAATGGTTTGAAGTAAAAAACATTTTAATGATGGATTTGTTTCTTACAAACACGCAGCTTTGCACTTCGCAAGACATTAATCGATGGACTGGGGTCGTGTGTGTGTGTGTATGAACATATCTTTACACACACATTCACACACCCACTCTCTAAAACTTGCCTGTGCAGATGTCCTGTTAAACCCTTACCAACGACAGTAAATCTATGTATCTGTTTCCCTGCCATTTCTGAGCTCAAGGACTTATAATAAATGAACTGGTTTGAAGTAAAAAAGATCCTGTGCTCCCACATGTCTTCAAGTACTTGTGTATTATCTGAACTTGTCTTGGCATGTAACAGGCTCTTGTGTTCAGATTGTAATTCTCTTTAGACAACATTACCTTCCCCCAGTCTGCAGGTTCTTTGAAACCCAGGAGACAGGATGAGACATGCTCATTCACTTTTTTTTATGTCAGGTTATCATCATCACTGACTTTTAACTTTCTAATTATCATGTGACGAGTTAAACAATATTGCCAATTGGTTCATGACATCTTTATGCATGTTTTAACAGGCAAGTTTGTGCTGTAAAAAATATAATTTATGATAAATGGTTACCTAACAATAACAGTTGATGGTTTAAGGAGATACAAAATGGCATAACATGGTTAACTGAGACAAAAATAAGCCTGTTTCGCAAGTATGCATTTTTAAACATAATTCATTGCAGTCTCTGTGGTCACTATGATCATGTTTGTTTCAAGCAGTGGCATGATTGTTTTGATTTTTGTCTCTGGAGGTGTTGCTCATGAGCTCAGTGAGTTAGATTCATGTTCCTCACAAAGAACCTTTAATTTGTTTGTTTTTTTATCATATTATGATTGTTTATCCTATTTTGTCCCGTTATCCTTCGTTTTCCCCATAAAAACACTTATATGATCATATTGTCACATGAATGGAAGTTCAGTTGGTTCTCATTTAATTTGATTAGCAATAATAAGTCATCATTAAAAATGATTACACACCATAGTTTTGAACAACTGTCCTACACTGCAAAAACTTATTTCTTTCAGTATTATTGTCTTCTTTTCTTTTCCAGTAAGAATATTTTTCATCATACATTTCACATTCTTAGATGCTTAAAATGTTTTTTATTTTATATATATATATATATATATATAGTGGGTACGGAAAGTATTCAGACCCCCTTAAATTTTTCACTCTTTGTTATATTGCAGCCATTTGCTAAAATCATTTAAGTTAATTTTTTTTCCTCATTAATGTACACATGCAATATAACAAAGAGTGAAAAATTTAAGGGGGTCTGAATACTTTCCGTACCCACTGTATACTGTATATATATATATATATATACTGTATATATGTTGACTTGTTTTCAGATAGTATAGTACTATTATTAAATTAAATTATATATTTTTTTAACAATTGGCAATTTAAGTTTGTTAGATTTATGCTTAAAGCAAATTTAAAAATGCTAAAAGAGTAAGAAAAATAGTTACATTCTCTCAAAACAAGTTATTATGATGCTTATGAAGTATTTATCTGAGAAATAAATACAGAGAAATACTACTACTGCTAATAAATAATAATAATAATAAAAGTAACTTTTTTTTTACAGTGAAACAGAAGAATGAAGACAACAACAACATTTCAAATCCTCCAAAATCCACAATAAATATAAAAAGAGTAGTGACTCACCACATTTGATCATGTTTCCCGCAATGTGTTTTTGTTTTTGCTGTTTATGTGCTGTATTAATTGCCCAGGGTCTGCTCGTATCTTAATGGAGAACAGGAGGTTGCAATCATTATCTCTCTGGTCTCTCCTCTCTCGATCTTTCCTTCTTCTGTACTGTGGGTTGAGTCTCCACAGACTGCCATGATGTGGGTGTTTTGTATAATACCCACAAGCGCAAACCCTCCCTCTCCTTTCCCTCCCTTTTCAGTTGATCTCTTTCCACAAGTTCCTGTTTGCAAAAACTGCAGCAGCATTTCTGTTTTGATATCTGCAATGAATATTTTATAATTTTGCAGAATACTTATATCACCCCATGCATGCATTCGATCCTGTCCTGTCATGCCATCTACAGCATGTGGGCTGTGATCCCTCATAAGGCACTATACTCATGTGCATTCAACCGCATATGCATTTCTACAGGTCTGTCAGATGGTGATCGAACATAAAACAAGCTGCGTTAACATGAACCTCAGGAATCCCAGCATAAGCACTCGTTAGATGGGATCACATCCGCCCTGGCAGTGACAGTTAAGAGGGATATGATACTTCAGACCTCCCAAGGGCCGGCTTTTAATGGGGCCATTCCGGCCCTTGAGTCCAGTGCCATCTATTACAGCTGTGACCTCCAAAGGATGTGAATGGTGTAGAGGATACTCTTTTTTTTTTTTAAACATCTGTGTCCTTGTGCAATGATGCTTTCTTCATTAATGTGAATGAGCAAAGTGTGATAATCGTTTTTCACCTATTACCCCACAGGTCTTTCTTATTTTATATTTTAGATCACAGAAAAGAATACTCGGCATAATAATATAAAGATCAGTTTTGGCAATGCCATGCAAGTGCTGCTTACATCTTTTTGATAAAAGACATCAGTTTGTCAAAAGTATATTTCAATAACATTTCACATCAGGAATAAAATCTGACATAAAATATTGACATGCACAGTATCTGATTTGATACCATGTTGGTTATCTGGCCATATTAGATATATTATTTTATTGTATCAGTCAATATTGTATATCTACTGTATATTTTATATAAATGCTAATTTTCCCTTTTTTTGAATTTGGATTGTTTTCTGTCATCTAACACTCACTTAATCTAAAATATATATTCTGTCCTAGATGCGTGTTCCATCTACGCAACACTGACAGATAGCTAACAGTCAGAAGTCAGAAAAGGGGCAGATGCAGGAGTAAAGTTGAAAGTTTTACTGTTAGGTTCTTTCCTTTTCCCTTTCTTATTCTTTTCTTTATTTTTTGTAAAACTGAAACATATAAAGATTACAAACGTCTTGTTACAGAGAGTTCACAAATAAATGCAAATGAATTTACAATGTTATATGAACAAACATAACAAAGGGCTACATTCATGCTCTGCTTAATATTGTTATCACTGAAGAGTAATAGTTTTAAACTCTAACTTATGAATTTCACATGTATACGTGTATATACATTCTTACAAACACTGAAGAAAAGTAATAGACTTACAGGCAAAGCCTTTCCAAGGCACAAAACGCAAAGGAAATAGAGTAAAGAACTTCTTGGACAACCGCATGGAGAAAATCTGGAACACTGCGATTATTTCCTGGTTAACCTCTAACCCAAGAGTCACATGGTCTAAATCAACCACTAAGAAAATAGCTAACAATTATTAATGTTCTTTGTTGTTACACCAAACTGCCACAAGATGGTGCTAAAAAATAACAAACGAATGCATGACATGACAATATATAATAACTTAATAACCCTTATGTATAATGTAATTAGCAAAATTCAAAATAAATAAATTTTTCGTAATGAACGTTAGAACATTATGAAGTCTACATCTTTTAAAACAATTTTTTCTTTATTCATTTTATTTATTTGGACAAAATAGTATCGAATTGTATTATTGTTTTTTTTGTTTGTTTGTTTTTTGGTTATTTGCCATAACAGGAAAATAATTGTCTTATCGTCCAGACTTATATCGTTAATATTGATGCATTCTCTTAGTATCATAAATTGTTTATTAAGTCTAAATCATAAACAAACTGTGTTTATCAGGCCCATCCAACTAATGTACCATTCAAAAGTTTTCTTTCTTTCTTTCTTTCTTTCTTAACACTTTTACTCAGCAATGATTACAAAAGATTTATATTTGAAATAACTATTCATCCACAACCCTGAAAAAATGCATCATGGTTTCCAAAAAAATATTATGTAGCACAAAATCAACATTGATAATAAGAAGAAATGTAGCAAATCAGAATATTAGAATGATTTCTGAAAGGATCGTGTGACACTGAAGACTGGAGTAATCAAATCAGCTTTGTCATCTGAAGGATCTGGGGATCCTCAAATGCAGTGTGTGTTTTGCTTCAAGAGAGCAATACATTTGTGTTGTGTTTTACTTACTTTTTTATGTTCATTCATTCATTCATTCATTTATAATCATTAATCATTTAATCATTTAATCATTTTTATTATTATTCAATATAATCATAAAATCATTTATAATAATCATTATAGTCATTTATATACCCATTTCATTAATTCATTCACTGATTATTCATTTATATATATATATATATATATAAATTTTTTTTTTTGTATTTTATTGTTGTTTAGTCTTATGACTGTGTGGTTTCAATTAGAGCTGCACGATTAATCGAATGCGATTGTCATGCGCATTTTGTTAGTAAAGCCGGTTCTGTAATC